GAAGAGGCCGCGAGCAATCTTCTCATCTTTGCCCACGTAGTCCATGAAATCTTTCCACGCGGGCGCCTCCGCGCCTCCGTGAAATCGTCGACCTGCAACCAGGTGCCAAAGGGCGAGCGGCGCGGCCTGAAAAGCTCGCCGGGGCACCCGCTGTGGTAGTTTAGCTGGTCGCCCGTTGCTCCTGGACCAAACCATATCTGCCATTGAGCTTGCCAACGAAACGAACCCGCACCCCCACGGGGGGGGGGGGCGCCGTGCATGCGGCCCGCGTTGTAAATGTTGGCGACGTTCAGCATCCTGGAGTACGATTCTTTGTATTTGATGGTCTGCCATTCGTGTGCAGCCTGCTGGACAACCAACGACACCTCGAGCGCCCGGGCGTCGCGCCGCGCGCGCTCGGTGATCCAGCGGGCCAGAGGTTCCCAGTGCATGGCCAAGCCGTAGCACTCGAGGAACTCCTTCTGCGCGTGTCGTGGGACCAGCTCTGGCCTCGCGTCGGGGCGGCTGTCCTTCGCAAGCCACGCCTCGAAGGCCCTCCAGACAGGGTCGGGGGTCGGTGTGCCTTGCCGCATGCAGCTCAAGAGCTCTGCGATGGGATCGCCCTTGACGTAGCGCCCCGTTCCTTGGAACTCGATGACACTGGTGATCCTCTTGAAGACTCGGAGGGCGTTCTGAATCTCAAGCGAAGGCGGCTCCGAAAGCACGGCGTTGCCGTTTTCGTCTTTCTCGTTTGGGATCTGTCACGAGGCTGAGCTGCGCAGTCGGTGTCAACTGCAGGAAATCGCCCAGGCGGATGACGATTGGGCACCTACCAAAGCTGCACCCTTGCTTCTTATAGTTGCCCTCTTATAATTGCCCACCTACCAAAGCTGCACCCTTGCTTCCTTTAGTTACCCGCGACTGAAGGTTGAACCCTTTCAAGTTACGTTTTCAGTCCGACTACAAGAAAGAGGGTGCACCTGTTCAAGTTCCCTGTCCCTGCCAATTGCTTCTCCAGTTCGACCGCGAGCGGGGAAGTGAACCTGTTCAAGTTCCCTGTCCCGCCCATTACCCAGGCACGGTGGCGAATATGGCCGAATGCCTTTAGTTGGGATCTCTTCCGAGTTTCCCCTGTCCAGGAGGTCCTTTCTGAGCCCCCGGAGCCGCCAGAAACGAACCCAAAACAATAGTTTTACCGTCATGGGGCCCTCCGGCGCGTCTCGTGACGATTTTGCATCGCAAGCTATACTGATTTGCGCCAACTTTCAACGTCTCAAGTCCTGTTCCGCCCCGGATGGAAAAATTATCTCTCAAGCCCCTCGAACGCCCGCAAAAAAATTGCGCTAGTTCCCATGTACTACCAAACACGAAGCAAAACTCCTCTCTCCTCCTCCTCTCACATCCCTCAATCGTCCTACTCGTATGGGGGGAAAACCTTTTCAAGTTCCCTATCCAGTTCGAACGTCAGCGAGAAAGTAAACCTTTGAAAGTTCCCTGTCCCGCGGCTGAAGGGTGAACCTTTTTCAAGTTTCCCGTCTCATCCGACCACGAGTGGGAGTGAACCTTTTCAAGTTCCCTCTCTCCAGCCTGGAGAGTGAACCTTGTCAAGTTCCCTATCCAATTCGACCACAAGCTGGAAAGTGGACCTTTTCAAGTTCCATTTCCCGCGACTGAAGGATGAACCTTTGCAAGGTCCCCTTCAGTCCGACCACGCGAGGGAAAATGAACCTTTTCGTGTTCCGTGTCCCTGCCTGGAGAGTGAACCTTTTTCAATTTGCCTCTCCAGTTCGACCACAAGCGGAAAAGTGGACCTTTTCTAGTTCCCTCTCCCGCAGCTAGGGAATGAACCTTTTACACGTTCCCTCCCGAGCAAAAAACGCACGCGGGATAATGAACCTTCTCAAGTCCCCTCCCCCGCTGACGACGACAAGTTTTGAAAGCACCGGAGAGAAAGAAAACAACATCCCACGGTGACACAAGCTCTGCACATGCAACACCTGGTCACTCCTCCTTGACCGCCGTACGCAACGGGGGGAGCCATTCGGGACACAACGCAAAAGCAGAAAACAGGCAAACCGCTAGAGACATCCCTACAGAACGGCGACGAACGAAGCCGTGAAAGCACCTTTGGCGGCTCCCCTTAGGTAGCTGAAACCAGCGCCACGCCTGAGACATCCTCACAATCTGCTCTCCAAGCAAAGAATGTTGAGACAGGCAAACAGCTTGAGACATCCCCACAAAACGGCCGCGAACGGGACCGTGTGATACCCCTCGGCGGCTCCCCGTAAGGGTGCTGAAACCAACGCCCCGCCTGAGACATCCTCATAATCTGCCCTCCAAGCGAAGGATGCTGGGACAGAAAACAGGTAAACCGCTAGATACATCCACACAAAACGGCCGCGACCGGGACCGTGTCATACTCCTTGGCGGCTCCCCTTAGGGCTGCTGAAACCAGCGCCCTGTGTGTTAGTAAATCAGACAATGAGAAGGTATGAGTATGAGTTAGTCTGGGTATGAGTGAGTCTGAGCATGATAAAGTCTGAGTGCGAGTAGGTCTGATAATGAGCAAGTCTGAGTATGACCAAGTTAGTATGGCCAGGTCTGAGTATGAGTAAGTCTGTGTATGAGTAAGTATGTGTATGAGTAAGTCTAGGTATGAGGAGGAATATGAGGAGGAGAAGAGGAAGGAGTAGGAGGCGTCCAAGTACTAACAATAACCCCATCTTAGGGTATGGGAAAAACGTATCCGATCGGTTGCGCCATAGGTTGCGCCCTCGGTGGCGGAACAACAAAAAAAACATCTCCTATCGGTTGTGCCATAGGTTGCGCCCTCGGTGGCCGAGAATCCGTCCCCCATCGGTTGCGCCATAGGTTGCGCCCTCCGCCGCCGCGAACAAAACCGTCGCATAACGCCGGGCGACCGGTCAGCGCAGTTCAGTTCAGCTCAGTTCAGTTCACTTCACTTCACGTCAGTCCAGTCCAACCCAGTCCAGTCAAATTACCTTGCGAGAAACCACATTCTGGGGAGGCGCAAACCCACCCCCACCCCCAGTCCCGACCCCATCCTGGAACCCGCGACCCAGGAGGTCGGGACTGGGGGTGGGGGTGGCTTTTTGGGGCCCAAGAATGGAGAAAACCCACCCCACCCCCAATCCCGACCCCTCGACTCGCCGGCTCGGGGATTGGAGTCGGGATTGGGGGTGGGGGTGACTCTTCGCCCTATGAACATTCGGGCTGCGCCCGAAAGAGAGGTGAACTCCTGGTTCTTGGCTCGGCGATGAGGCAGCGGGACGTCTTCCCTCCCCCACGGCCCGCCCCGCCCGCGGGGGCCGCGGCCGCGGGGGGAGGGGGGGGGAAGAGGGGGGGAGCAGGAGGAGGAGGAGGAGGAGGAGGAGGAGGAGAAGGAGCAGGAGGAGGAGGAGGAGGAGGAGGAGGAGGAGGAGGAGGAGGAAGAGGAGGAGGGGGGGCAGATCCCATTCGCAGTGCCGTCGCGAGGCTCACGGGTGTACCCATCCAGCGGAGGCGGGGAGGCGGGGGTTGACTCGATCCCATATGCCCGGGGGGGGGGGGAGAGGCGGGGGGCAACCCGGGATCGGATAACGTCATGCCACCCTGAAAGCCTCCGACGGCGCCGGACGGTTCAAGATCACCCTTGGGAAGGCCCAGCCACAGGGTGGCCCAAGAGGGCCTCATGATGCTCCCAAGAAAACCGAACAAGAAAACCGAACGGGCTAGAAGACAACACCAAGCAGCCCCAAGATAACCCCCAATATTATCCACAGCGGATTCCCCAGCGGCTGGGGGAACATGCAGATCACTAGGTGGCTGCACTTTCGCCCGACAGTTCACGGACCCAGCGTTGACTCGCCGAAGGCGTCTTTCATATCACAACAGCAGCTCGCATGCATTCACTTTTTAGGTATGCGATCTCTGAAGCACGTCGAGCAACATCTGCCACTGAGGTGCGTAGAAGGCTGGAGAATCCACCGACCCCCGCTTGCCCGGGGCGAAAAGGCGTGTGAGGCATTTGGCTGTCACCCGTCCCCTTCCCCCCTCCCCTGGGGTCCAAAATGCCATCCTGGGGGAGGGGGCACGAGCTCGTTAACGCAACCCCCGAGGCCTCCGGAGCCCCCGAAAAGCCCCAAGGCAGCCCAGCAGGGCCCAGACAAAGCGCCAAGACAGTCGAAGAGATCGTCATAACGACCCATGGTAGCCCCACTATCCAAGATGGCCCGCAAGATGGCCCACGAGGCCCCCCGGAGGATCGCCGAGAGATCCCAAAAAGGCCAAAATCATGTCATTCCCTTGAGAAGCGTGCATTTGCGCACATTCGCATTCTACACTTTGATAGTGAACTTGAAGGCCCAAGCTGCCTCCAAGATCGTCCCAAGCCGGCAATTGATGCCTCCAAAAAGACCCCAAGACGGCCCAAGAGGGCCCAAAGACAACCCCAGGGGTCCCTCAAGGCGGCCCCCGACAGCCCCTAGATGGCCCCAAGAGTGCTCCAAGAAAGCCCATGAGGGAAAATACGAACTGACATGCCGAGCCTTTCTCACGAAGATGGCCCCTCGAGCCCCCCAGTGACCCCCGAGGCCCCTCCAGGCCCCAAGATGCCTCAAAGACGACCCCCAGAAGCCCCCTAGAGGCCCCCACGAGGCCCCCAAAAGCCTGCCAGGTGCCCCCAAGAGCTCTCCAAGGGGCCCCAGAGATGCATCCCAAGAGACCCTCAGATTCATTCGGGAGGCTCCTGAACCCAAGACATCACTTCCACGATCGTCTCAAACACTCACTCCTCGTGGGAGTCGGCAGAATGGCGTAAGGCACTTGAATACATCCAATGGGTGCAATCACGCGAAAACTTCACAGAGTCGCCACGTCCATTCTTACCCTCGACGCGGCTGAATGAAGATTGTCGTGGCTCGGGGTGCATATCCCACCTGCCTTGCGTGAGGGCGTGAATCGGCAGAACAGGTATTACATCGCCAACACCGAGCTCAAAGAAAATTTTGGCAGTTTGATTGTTATCCGCCAGCCCCCTTGCGCGGTCGCTGGAGGCTCGGGTGAGGCGCGTAGAAGACAAGACATCTCATACGTGATCAAAGGCGGTAGTGTGGGCGTGGTCGAACACGAGGGCGACACGATGGTGCTTCAGGCGACGTGGACGGCAATGATGAACATGGGAGTCATATGGGTCCTTGGTTATGCTTGGGTCATTAGCAATGGTGCGTGATGCATGATGCCAGGACGCGCTCATCATCTGGTCGTTTGTAAGCGCCCAACAAGCCTCTGGGAGCAGGTGGTGCACGGACGCGGGGGGCTCACACACGAGGGCCCAACGACCATAGGCTTGCGCAGGCTGCCGCGGCAGACCGCATGGGCACAAGGGTGCTGGCGAGCGAGCTTACTCCTGCAGCTTGCGCGCGAAGGCGCCATGCATCCTTACGTGGTGGCCTACGGGGGCCACTCGCGCGGCAGATCACGTGGACAAGAGGGCGACTACGCGCGACCATAACGCGGGCAACTTGTGTGTGTGAACGTCCGCACCATCGGTTCCCGATCTCTTGCCGATCGTGCATATTCCTGCCGGTCCTCTCTGGGCGCAGGCGGTGCAAGAAGACCTCACATTCCAAGGCAATGTTTTCCCACTCGCAGAATGGTTCAGCCCCCTCCCCCCGCAGCATCCCAGCGGGTCCTGGCTGTGGGCGCGGTTGCGGTTGAGCGCGCCCGCGGGCGGCCCATCATGTGGCGACGGGTTGCTGTTGCCGAGGGCGCGCAAGCATGGATTGGCGATCCATGGACTTGGCGCGCGGTCGCCAAATCCATGGATCGGGGGAAGTGCCCTCCCCAAAATGCGGCCTGCGCCGCCTCGCCCAGCGGCGGAAATCTGTGATGTCCCATGGAGTCGGGCCCCGTCGCTAATCCACACCCCCTTGATCCATGTTTGCGATCGCCTGAGGTTGGTGGCTCGGGTCCATCGAGGTGGGGGGTCCTGCCCCCCCCGCCCCCTCGGAAGCAAGGGTGGTGCGGGCACCCGAAGTGCGCCGTGGAAAGTGCCCGTCCCTCCTGGCCTGCGGAGTCGGTTCTGCACCGCTTTGTGGGGGAGGGAGGGGGACCCTCGGGTGCCAAACGAGGGTCCTCAAACGCACGTGAACCCAGGGTTCCCCAGGAGGAGCCCGTGACGGCCCAAGATGACGCCAAGATGATGCATGGATGGCGGACAAACCGCGCCTTCGATATCCAAAACAAGCCAAGGGGCCCCAAAAGAAACCTTCGAAAGGAGAAAGCAGCTTAAATCAGCGACAGACCAGAAAATAATGAACACACTGTTGCGGATTTTCAATACGTTCCGCTGGCTAACATCGGATCATTATTATGTTTCGTATTACTTGACGCATGTTCGGGGGCCGTCACATGGACTTGCATTGCCCGCGTAACGACCAGCAAAAGGGTTTCCACGATCCCAAGCACGAACCCCAGAAAACCATCCAATCTCCTAAAGCCCAAGAGGGGCCCAACGAGCTCCGCGTAAACCTGGAGAAGTGGCCGAGCAGCCCCAAGACACCCTAAAGATGGCAAGCCAGGCCGCCCCGACAGGCCCAGGGACTCCCGAAATGCGTTCGGCAAGCCCCAGGGACCCCAGGATGCAGAAAACATGGCCGAAAAACCGCCCGATGCCTAATACGGACGCGACGCGTAACAAAGTGTGTGGCACAACGGCGGCCATATTGCGCACCACCAGTGTGTATCCGGCGCCTCCTGTGGCTTGCAAGGGTCCCAAACAACTGATATAGGTCCTGACTCCCTTGGGTGCGTTATGACTGGGGGCCCGAAGCAATTCCAGCATTGGCGACGAAGGCCCCGCAAGAGACCATATGGAAACAACAGGAATTACGGCATCGGATACGGCAGGTTCGTGTCGTATCGACTTCGGCCTTGGTTCCTGACGCCGCGGGGATCGCTCAATCTTGAACGATCGGCCGCTTCCGGAACGAAAACCGCTTAGCATCGACCGATTCTGGGTCGCTGGCGGCGTTCAACGTTGAACGCCGGCGGCGGGGTCGCCGCCGGTCGGCGCGACGCGAAACTACAGCGAGTGAGTCCAGTTCTCCTGAGGTCTGTCCACGAGAAGGCTGGGCGCGCAGCGCCCTGCGGCAGTCTGGCCTGGTCTGCATCTCCGGAGCTCTCCAATTGCCCCTCCTGACATCGCCAGGCACCACAGGCACCAGGCCTCCGAGGATACCGTGCCTCGTGCCGAGCAGCACTCAGTGCCATTAATTTGTGCGTTTCGGGGGCGGCAAAGACTGGGCTTCCAAGAGGGCATACATACGCACGCCCAAGGACGCGTCGGCAGGAGCTACATGATGGAAGAAAGGAGGACGCACGAAAGGAGGGAGGGACACGCGACGAGGGGGGACGCGAGGCGAGGCGGAGCGAGCGAGCGAGGGCGCGACTGTCGCGTTGAACAATTCCAACTTACGTGTTTCGCCAGTGCTTGTGTGGCCCCACGCCCTCCGGAGACTCGAAAGGGATGAGAAAGTAGCCCCTGGTCGTCTAGTCAAATCAGTTATCCCCCCGCTCTCCCGTCGCAGCTGATGGTGGTGCCGAAATACGACAGCGTCTTCGCGGCTTCGGTTGCGTCGCCCGCCGGCGTCGCGACGTCGCCTTCACATCGCATGCGCAAGAGTCGGAGCTTCCCCAAACGCAGCTCTAGCCCGACACGGCCGGCCGCCTCCTGTAGCGCCTGCAAACGCATGAGCATTTCCTCTGCTGTCCAAGCCATGAAGAGCGCGTCGTCGCCATACGGCAGCAGGCCGACGCGGGGCGCCTCCGGCTGCTCCAAAGCGCCCTTGGCGTCTGTCATGACGACTGTCGACGTCGCGATGAAGAGCAAGGGTGAACGGGGGCACCACTGCGAGACTCCGGGCTTTGAGTCACGCTCATGCGAAAGCCCGCCGGCGTCTTTCACCTCGACGGCGCGGCCAGTGCACACGCCGGTGATCATATCGCGAATGTGCTCGGAGAGGCCAAATCTTTCCAGGGCCGGGAACGTCGTCTCTGTGTTCACGGAGTCGACGGCCCGCTGCCGCTCCAAAACCAGGATGTACGCGCGGCCGCTTTTTGCAGCCAGCTCTGCCAAGATCTGCATCCCCGTAAAACAAATAGCACCCTTTGTGCTGCGACCCCGCCGGAAGCCGAATTTATAGTTTGAAAGACTCTCGTCGGCACCCGCTTCGAGGAGCCGGTTCTTCACCAAGGAAGCGTATATGTTGCAACCGAGGCTCAGCCAACAAATGGGGCGGTAGTTTTCGGGCAGGTCTGGGCTCCCTTTTCTCAACAGATTCCTGTCACCAGCGCCTTATGCCAGTCTCTGGGCGTTTCTTTCTTCATCCAACAAGTACTCATGCATTGCGTGACTCGCTGTTCCTAGTCAGGAAAGGTCTTCCAAACTTAGCAGGGATGTCGTCGCACCCCGCTGCCCTGTTGTTCCGCAAGAAAGATAACGGATTCGGCCCAGTTCTCAAACAGCAAAAAAAACGCCTGCATTGACCTGACGCTTGGGGTTCAAACCGGGGGCGCGAATGTTTTGGCCAGACGTGATGGAAGATGACGACTAGGAACAGACAGTAAGGATAACGATTACACACAACATTTCTTTGATTTCTACATGGTCTTCAAACGAAAGGAAAACGATTTGATATTCGAAGATAGGTATATTACACGTCGGCTTCGGATCTTGCGTCGCAAACTCATTCCACATCGTCGTCCAATTTTACGTTGAATAATCCTTCGGCGTCAACTTCCAATTTTCAATCAAACGCCAATTCTACGTCGGCTTCCCAGTTCTACGTCAGATTTGAATTAAAATACCAAGTTGGCCAATACCAAATTAGGGCGCGCGCGCGAGGACGGCAGAAGGGGGAATGATTGAAACGTAGTTCCCCAATCCGCGGCCGGTTGTTCTTAATCATCCTCCAGGGCGCCGCCGACGCGGCACACCATGTCATTTATTGATCGTCGTCCTCGGCAGTGGATGCTCTCCAAGTGTTCAACCATTGCGTCTGCCTTTTTGTTTCATCGATTGCTGTGAGCGCACCACTTGCGTTGCGCAGGCTCGGCTGCTTCGGCCCTCGCGGCTTCCTGACGATCTGAACCCACGAACCTGATGTGATGCAATGGTTGAGCCATTTTGTCTTGTCGGCCTTGGCCCTTCTTCGCACCTGACGAGGGAGGTCTTCCTGCTCGGCGGAGTTGCCCTCCAATCGCGCCAACGACCTCTGATCGACCAGGTCCAACGTTCACTGGCTGATCCACTGGAGCCGGCTGCTCGACATCAGATCTGGCACAGCCTGCTCACACGCACGGATCGCGCCCACCGGTGTAGCCCAACCCTCCTCTGCGGACTCGTTTTCTTGTGACCCTTCCACGTTGTGCAAGAACGAGCTGGCGAACTCTTGCGCCAGGGCCAGTGTCTTCAGCGCACGCGTGTCATTGTTTCGCATTGCAGGGCAGGTTGCCTCCTCCCGTATTGCATTGTAGTGACCATGGAACATCAACTGGCTGGTTTGCAATCCCGCTTCCCGGGTGGCTTAGCACTGACTGGACATCTGCCAGAGCATGCGCTTCGACCAAAACCAAATCGAGCACGTCATGTGTCTTAACGGTGACCTCGCTCAGGTGGCCCGCACCACCCTCCAAGAACGTTGCCCTACTGTATCTTCCAGCGCGCCGCCGTCGTGAGTGTTCAAAGGTGGGTGGGGGGCATGGTACGTGTTCAGAGGCAAGTGATCAAAGCTTAGGTGTTCAAAGGTAGGTGTTCGAAGGCTTGCGCCGCCGTGTCCAAGAGGGGGGGACGCAAATCATGGCCGGCGGCATGTGCGCGGTCTGGGGGGGGGTCAGGGACGTACTGAAATAAGAAGAATCACCATGAAATCTGGGGAGATATTATGGCCCTCGCCATGATATCCATCCCCCCCTAGTCGTCACCCCCCTCTTTGCCGCCCCCAAGCGTTGGCCCATCTAAACGAAACCTCTCCAAGAGCTCTCGACCCCTGCTGTCGCACCCGGGGCGGCGACTCGCCGGAGGCGTCTTCAAACGATAGAGTTCCCGAAGGCGCGAATGTCGAAGGGACTGCACCAAAGGTCGGCAGGAAGGTTGCATGTTGAAGTGCCACGCATCAAATCTGCATGAAGGCACTCGACCTGATGCCTGTAGTAACCGGCTTCGTACTCGAAATGCGTCGCTGTAGTCTCCGCCCAGACGATCCGCGTCGAGGGGTCATCGCGTGACGCGTTCAATAATATCCCGAGCACTTCCCGCAAATAACCGGTGCCGTGTAAACCGATGTTAGCTAAAACGACAGAAGACGCAATTCTGACGGAATTGTTCAGCTCCCTCTTCAACGCACCGGACCAAGAACTGACTTCAACGAAGCGCAAATCCGCCGACATCCGCTTGCTGGGGGTGGCGAGGCGTGCGAGACTCGAATGTCCCCCTCGAAGGGGTGAATTCGCCAGCGCACCTCTCGGAACCCAGCCGACACCAAAATGGCCTCCGCACGCACGGGTCACCAGACGCCTCCAGAGTGGCCTAGCATGGATCCGGTGCGGCCCACGGTTCCCCGAGATAGCCCGCCAGACCGCCGAGCATACTTTACACCCTGCGAGATGCTTAAGAAATCATGGGTTAAGAAATTCATAGTCTCAGAAATTGAATAAAAACCACGAACTTCTATCAAAATCTTGGGATTTACATTGGAAAGTTAAGAATAATCGAGACTCTGGCCGAAAACTTAAGTTTTCTTAAGCATCGCCTAAGGTGTACTTTGGGCTGGTGCTCCTCAGCATTTCCTGTCGACTGGTGCGCATCGCAGCTCCTCAGCTGGCCTGCAGGTCGAATTGGATTGAGGAAAGAGGCATCATCTCTCGAAACATATTTACAGTGCGACTAGTTTTTCAGTCGTACACCCTGCGAGATGCTTAAGAAATCATGGGTTCAGAAATTCATAGTCTCAGAATTTCAATAAAAAACAAATTTCTACTAAAAGTTAGGTTTTCCATTGAAGCAATATAAGAATAATCAAGACTCTGGCCGAAACCTCATATTTTCTTAAGCATCGTTTCAGTCGTACATGGCCGAGGGCTGGCCAAGATGGTGTCCAAGGTGACCCTAGTCCGCTGGAAGCTGGCCACGATGGGCCTGGAGCCTCCCCTGGAAGAGCCTCGGAGACCAAAGCCGCTGAGGGCAGCAGTGCCTGCAATGCTTCTTCGAGGGAGTCTCGGAAGAAGGTACTCTGCTCTGGGGCCCCTAGAGAGAAGCCCAGCAAGGCGCAGACAGCGTCCAGGGGGAGCTCCCGAAGAGGTCCAAGAGGACACGCCGAGTGCTCAGAATGAACCCCAAGAGGGCCCCAGCAGAGTTCCCAGGTGATTGGATTCCACAATCCCGCCGAGTACCTGTGAGGCCCAGGAGGATGCAACAATCCAGCCCAGGTGATCGGATGCCACAATCCCGCCAAGAGGACACGCCGAGTGCTCAGAATGCACCACCAGAGAACCCCAACAAAGTTCCCAAGAGGTCGGCTGCCACAATCCCGCCGAGTACCTGTGGCGCCCAGGAGCCGCCTGGAATAGGCGTCATCCTCGTGCTCGTTTCGCGGCTTCGGTGCCCTCACGGTGGCCTAGGTGTTTTGCATTGAGCGACCAAACTGGAGAGGGGCGGCGGCAAGCCAGCACAGCATCAGTGGAGAGAGGTCAGACTCAGTTTGTGCAACAAGTGGAGGAGGAACGGGAGGAGGAGGAGGAGGAGGAGGAGGAGGAGGAGGAGGAGGAGAAGGAGAAGGAAAAAAAGGAGAAAGGAGGCGGGGGAAGATCAGGAGAAGCAGGAGGAGGAGGAGGAGCAAGAGAACGAACTGTTTCATCTGCTTGGTTCCTCCTCCCGCTCGGCCTTGTCGGAACCTGGCGAGCTGAATCAACGGCAACTCGCATCGGTCCACGCCCCTCTCCTGGGATCCAGACGCACCGGTTTCCCGAGCTGCGTCCAACCGTTGCGCTGGGCGCCCCTCAGATGGCCCCTCAGATGGCCAACTACCGCTCAACTCGCCGGACCATCGCAGGGCGCCCGAACCAACAGACGCCGCCACGGGCTCCTCGCATGGGGGGCGGGCGGGATGTCGCAGGACCTGGAATCGAGAGAGACCCGACCTTCGCCCTCCTCGCACTCCCACTGCATGGCCTTCGGCCCGCGGCTCTCCCGCAGCACGCAGCCAGATCGGATCAAGTCACACACAGCAGCGGCGTGCCGCTGCCTCGTCACCGAGTCCCCGACGAAGAGCAGGGGACCGCGGAGGCCCGCCGCCGCCATCCAGCGCGCGACGCCCCGGATCCCCTGGCAGGCCCCCCCTGCGCAGGCGGACCAGTGCAAGGAGAGGGGCTCGAGAGAGGAGGCCTGACTGACACCTGTCGGGGGTGGACAGAACCCCCAACAGTGACACGTCGATTAGTGAATTGTCCTTTTTCGGTTCTCGAGAGGGCGCCGCGGCCGTTGTTTTCCAGGCTCGCGCCCGCCAGGTTTGGGCCTCAGGTCGTTTTCACTGAACCACGTTTTACTAAAGGGAGGTCTGTCCATCCCCGAACCTGGATGTTGGGCGTGTCCATCTGGCAAGCAATCGTTGTTCTTCGTGTCTGCGGGATTGGTGCCGCGCAGGGAAGCAATCTCATCCTCTGTGAAAAAAGCTGGCAAATCGGCCGCTGGTGTTGGCGCCCAGCGCCCAGCCAGCAAGCCATCCGTGTGACCGCTGGCACTTCCCCAAGGGCAGGAGTCGACCAGATCTCGCCCTCTCGGGGCCTTCTGCGCGAACCTGGCAACGAGCTGCTCCTCGAACTCCGCCGACCCATTCGGTAACGTCGTGAAGATGTCTGCGATTGGGAGGGTGGGTATGGATACACAGGAGTCGACAGTAAGTGGACTTTGAGTGCACCGCCCAGCCCCAAGACAGGGCACCCGAACGGTCCAATATCCGAAGATGGCCCAAGAGGGCCCCAAGCGGGAAAGAAGGGCTCCGAATCAGCACACCACGACCCCCAGACGGCCCTCGGCGGAGGGGCAACGTCGGGGGGAAAGACCCGCTCGCTCCGGGGGGAGAAACACTGAGCTGGAACCGGCGATGCATCGCGGACGGATCGGCGATACGCCCCCGACAGAGCACCTCTTCGCTCCTGGGCAGGGGGGACCGTCCGGCCCCTGTCGGCGATAAGTGGGCGGCAGGGGGCCGATGCATCCCCCTCTGATAGGGGGCAAACAGACCTACCTCGCTTTTGACCACCCTCGCTTCCAAGAGACACCAAGCGATGCCAAACTACGTCCTGTACTGGTCAGGCCGCTTGGCGAGGAGGCGCGTGGTATGACTTGGTTTTGCCTGGAAGCGAAAGCGGGGTAGGTAATTCACGCTCTGATCTGAGTCTGTCTCCCTCTGACGTTGCCCCTGAAACCAGGGGGGCAAGGGAAACATGGTGCAAGAACACCCTCTCGCCTGCGAAACACGGGTGCATCGCATAAGCGGGCTCTGAGTGATGAGTCGGAGGCAGCGGAGGGGCAGGCAGGAGCGGGAAGCGAGCCTGCCTGCCTGTGCTCACGCGCAGCGTTCCGTATCGCCTCGGGCGTCCAAAGCGTCCCTGAGGAGATCGCCATGGCCCGTCTCAGAGAGCCCCTGTGGCCAACCTCTGAAGACTTCTGGCGGCCGCTGCGGCCGCTTCGGGTCCTTCGAGTCGTTCTGGCCATAAGAGATTAACTCAGAAGCTAGCGTGTCGAACTGAGCCTTCAAGACGCGCCGAACATAGGCGAGGCAAGCATCCGGGTGATGGTCGGAAGGCTCGACTCCGCTCAGCCCACCGAGCTGGCCCGCTGGCTGTCCCTGTGAAAGGTTTCCTTCGAGGATTCCATGCAGGATGCCCATGGGCTTCTCTGGCAACTGGCCCTCAGGCCGGATGTGATGCCTGCCCTGCACAGGAGAGCGGGCTTCCAAGGCAGGACGCGCCGACGGCAAAACATTCTGAATATGGAGGCCGTCCAGCGGATAGCCCCTGGAGAGGTTGTGCAACTTGCCTTGAACAGGAACCTGGGCGTCCATGGCAGCACTCCTAGACGCCTCCGCACCAGGGCTGTGGAGGCCAAGCGGCCGACCGCACAGAGTCACCAGCGCATCGTGGTAGATCGCGGTCCATGCCATCAATGCACACGAAAACACCCACATGCACGGCCGCGAAGAGAATGACCCGTGCAGCATCATTTCGAGCCTCGCGGGGTCGCGTGGGCGGGACTCCCACCGCGCTGGGGCCTCCTGCTGAGAGCCGCCTTCATGAACCCAAAGGCACGATGGCCAAAAAAGCTTGAGGAAAAAAAAACGTGTGCCACGACATGAGCACCGAAGAACTGACCGCGTAGGAAACATCCGTGCAGCCGGGGCTCTCTTGCAGACGCGTCCAGAGGAAGACTCGGAGGGGACAGGGGCATCTGCGATATCCACGTAGAGGGTGACACACCAGTCTCATGGGGGTCGGAACCGCTCTTCCTTCACATAGATTTGGACGCCCGAAATGGGTACGGGAAAAATGGGTACCATGCCCAACAGCAAATGTTGTCCCAAATCAACAGCGGCCGCTGTTGGGCAGGCGGCATTCTGTCTCAAATGGACACAGGCCGCGGCGGCGTGGACAACGAGTCCTGTTCAGAACGAACAAGATCCGCTGTTGGGCATCGCGGGCCATTCTCCCCGTGCCCATCTCGTTCGTGCAGAATAGAAAGAGAGGAGAGAGGGAGAGAGAGAGAGAGAGAGAGAGAGAGAGAGAGCAGGAGCACCTGGATGGCTGCTGCGCCACGCAAGGCCGCGCCGCGAAGAGCCGATGCGATACAAACGGGATGCCACCCGGAGCGCTCGGCCAGGAGGGCGCACAGCCTGGAGCACCCACACCCTTAGATTTCAGTCGGGCCTGTCCCCCCACAGGAGGATTTTCGATGTAAAATAAACCAGCACCCCAAACATACCCCCAAAGGCAGCAAAAATACCTCAAAAATAGTCCCCAGACTGTGTTTGGACTATTTGTTTTTACTATCTTTGGGGTATTTTTATTTTTCGTCGAAAATCCCCCTCTAGGGGGACAGGCCCGACTTAACCTTATATGTTCTTAAACCAGCTGGGAGCTTGTTTTTACCGTTTTCAAGATCCATGCGTTGTCCTGCAACACCAACGTAAAAACAAAAAAAATATAAAAACATCACAACATTCAACACGGAACAATAAACGCCCCCAGCGTGTCTGAGAACAACCAGGCTCACGCCCACGTCGCCGCCGCGTCGAAGCGCGTGAATGTGAAGCACAGACTGGCAGACGGTGGAGAACGCGACGGGCAGCTGCGGAAACAGATCTGGGACACCTGGACTTTTTCAGGGGCAAGAGCTTCGTTCTGAGACGTCCCCCGACGGTCTCCCGGGAGGGCCCTCCAAGCGCGAGGAAGCATCCTCAGGATCCCCCCATCCAGGGCCGCATCTCATGGCAACCCTCAAAACCTCATGGCGACTCTCATAAAAGCGACTCCCAGGACTTTGCCGTGGTCCGTTTCGACAAAAAAATATGCGAAGGAAATTCAAATCGTGACGACGAAGAAAACCTGAGGCCCCACAAACCGGCGAAGCCACAGAACCTAGATCCTGGAACCCCAAACCTTCTTCATGCCGAACCCCAGCGTCCGGGACCCCTTTGGCCACATCCATGTTGATGCCGGTGAGGATGCAGAACGTCAGCACACACAAAGTCCAGACTACGACAACGGCGACGGGGCACCGCTGGACGCGCAGCACGATCGACACCGGGAGCCTGCCCAAGCCGGCAATTCTTTCTCGCTGTCCCCGGCAGCTCTTCTGGAAGGGGGAGGAAGGAGGCGATAGGAAGGAGAGGGACATGGCTACTGTAGGGGGCGCCGCGGGGGGCGTAGGCGGGACTTGAGGGAGGGCGGAACGAGGATGGGGCAGGGGGAGTGGAGACAGGGAGAGAGAGGGGAGGGGAGGGCAAGGAGAGAAGGGATAGGTGAGGTGAGGGGTGAAGGGAAACGGGAGGACGCCAACAAACGTTAACTGCCTGATAAACCACCCGCCTGGTGATGAGCAGGTCAGAGCGTTGAAAAACTTACATGTCGTTTTACATGTCGATTGCCATCGAATTTGCATGTTGATGTGCGTTTCCATTGCACTTGAACTCACGTTTCCATCACACTTGAGTTAAATTTCAATGTCCAATCCGATTGCAAGTCGATTTAGAATATGCGTAGTACTTGACGGTAGAATTCGATGCTCATGTCGGTGTGCATGCAAAAGTAACCTCTGATTCGAATGACGATGTACATTCCAAACTGGATGTCGATGGATCTGCAGAAATTGTCGAGTTTCAATGTGATGTGCATATCGTTCGAAATTACATATCCATACATATGCGAAGTCTGAATTCGATTTGCATGTAGAATTGAATTAGGTTTACAAACATGTGCGATTCGTTGTCCATGCGTATCGCACTCCGATCCCGACTATGAGTTATACTTGTACTTGCCATTCGATTAACCAGAGCAAACGTTTCAAAATTCCCCCCCCCCCCCTGGAGCCTTAAAACAACTGATATGTGCAGGCTACTACAAAACCAGCCGCCAGAACTGATTGTTTGAACGTCTGCCCCCCCCAACAATTTTTCTGCCGTCGCCGTCTCGTCGTCGTCACCGCCGTCGTCGTCGTCGTCGTCGTCATCTGTCGTCCGTCGTCGTCGTCGTCGTCGTCGTCGTCGTCGTCGTCGACTACACCGGGCCTACGCCCCCCCCCCCCTAGGGCATCCGCAGTGTGTAGTCGTCGTCGTCGTCGCCGTTGGCTACGGCAGCGCGGGGGCATACGCAACAACACCCCTCCCCCCATGGGGCATCCGCCCGCAACGCGTCGTCGTTGTCGACTAAAGCGGGCCCGCGCCCCCCGCCATACCCCCGTAGGGCATCCGCAGTGCGTCGTCGCGGTCGCCTCCATCGTCGTCGTCGTCGCCATCGCCCACGGCGTACGGTGGCCCTGCGGCCCCCCCCCCCCACAGGGCATCCGCAGTGCCCCCACCCCACAGGGCATCCGCAATGCCTTGTCGTCGTCGCCGTCGTCGTCGTCCCTCGTCGTCGTCCTCGTTTTCGTCCTCGTCCTCGTCGTCGTCGTCGTCGATGACTATGGTGGGCCTACGCAACCCCCCCCAAAAGGCATCCGTCGTGAGTCGTCGTTTTCGTCGTCGTCGTCGCCGTCGTCGTCGTCCTCCTTATCCTCGTTCCTCGTCGTCGTCCGTCGTCGTCGTCGTCACCGTCGTCGTCGGTCATCGCGAGCTTCGTCGTCGTCGTCGTCGTCGTCGACTACAGCGGGCCTGCTCGCCCCCCCCCCAAAGAGCATCCGCAGTGCGTCGCCGTCCGTCGTCGGCGTCGTCGCCGTCGTCGCCCGTCGTCGCCGTCCTCGTGCTCGTCCTCGTCCTCGACCTTGTCGTCGTCGTCGTCGTCCTCGTCCTTGTCCTCGTCCTTGTCCTCGTCGTCGTTGTCGTCGTCGTCGTCGTCCTCGTCCTCGTCCTCGTCCTCGTCCTCGTCGTCGTTGCTGTCGTCGTCGTCCGTCCGTCTGGTCGGCGCAGTCGCCCTCGCGGACGACCGCGAAGACTGGAGGAGGAGGAGGAGGAGGAGGAGGAGGAGGAGGAGGAGGAGGAGGGGGAGGAAGAGGGGGAGGAGTTGTAAAGGGCATCGGTTGCACACAATTAAATGGCCACGGGGCCCGCCACATGCCCTGCCGGAGGCGCGGCCTTCTGTATTTCTTACATGTAATGAGTTACACGTTTTCGTGTGTTTTTTACGCTGACGTTCACACGAATGCGAGAACCTGTGCTGCCAATGGGTCTTGACCACAGTGCACAAAGCGCTTTTGCAGGATCGAGCTTCAACTGGAGATGTAGATAGGCGGGGGCACGTGAGGGCGGAGGTGGAAGAGGGCTGCACTGGATAGGTGGAGGCGTGATGTTGGAGACGAATGGGTGGAGCGGGATAAGTTGGAGGTCGGGGTGAAAGAGTGGAGGCGAGAGGAAGTGGTAAAGGCCCTTGAGAGGAGGTGGAGGGAAGGATACGGGAAGGTGGCCTCAGTGACATTACTTCATTCCTGGACGAACTGTCGGGGCAGCAGCAGGATTCAGACGTCCAATCGCTATGATTCCCACCGTCGTTTACCTACCTGCTGCTGCTGCTGCAGCTTCTTGGCTGCTTGCTTCACTACCTACCGCTGAGCTCTGTGCACGCTGGTGCCAAGCTAGGGCGGTCTGGAGGGCGACGGAAAACCTGAAGGATGGAGGGTGGTAAAATAATGGGGAGGATAGCGGGGGATGGAAGGTGGACTTTAGGGCGGGATCTGGAGGATGAGAGGACATAGGATAAGTTCGGGGACGAGGGGCTCTCCAGCCGCTGGCACTAAAATGAACTCCTTGAGAGATGCTGAGCCGAAGCAGTAATATGGTTAGATCCCGGCTGAGCTCTAGGTATTCCCGCACACTACCCACACACATCTGCAATAATGACACGTCTTACGTCTTACCTAACTAACTTAAGAACGGTTCCTACTTCGGCTCTGCTTTACATTTCTTCAAAGGGGGCGCCAAGGCCAGAGGCTTGGCAGGCGCCTTCTTGGCCTTGGTCTGCTCACTGACAGGCGCCCCTGTCGCGCTGGCGACAGCTGCGTCGCCGCCCTCGGCGGCCTGGGCGATGCCCATCGCCTCGCGCAGCTTCTGGGGCAAGTCGCTCTTCTGCACCCCCAGCCTCTCGAAGAAGAATTTCTTCGACTCTAGCTTGCCGACGCCCGTGAGGGTGGAGTTGGCGAGCACGATGGCGCCCGCCAGGATTGCGCTCTCCTTCGCAACCGTTCTGATCCAATCCATGCTCGCTATGACCTGGTCCAGCGTCTTCAGCTGGTCATCGTTCAGCCAGTGGAGGGACGTGCGGGAGCTCTGCAGCTCACCGAAGATGCGCTCGGCATGGGGCAGGTTCTGCACGCACGCGGCAACACTCTTCATCTCTGCGTCCCTCACTGGGTCTTTCTGGCTCGAGCTCAACCACAGTTTCTTCTCGCCGTATCTTCTCTCCGCCCTCGCCGTATTTCAAAAGGAACGCGTCCGATGGGGCCATGTTCACACTCTCCACCGCTTTGTTGAACGTATCTGACCACTCGGCGATCAGTTGCACCTTCCACGCGGCCAGCTCGCCCTTAGACGAGATTGGCTCCGCCATGCTGGAGTAGGACGCCAAGGCGTTGTCAACTGGACGGTGCCGATCACATTGCCAGACAGCTTGGACTCCATGACCTTCTTGACCTGGAAGTAGGCCTGCATCGACTCGACGAGAGGTCGAATGCCAGGAGGCAGGGGCCCACTCCGATCGGTTGCCGTCTGGAGGAACTTCGGAGTCGCCATGCAGCAGTTCTCGGACGCTGCCACCTGCTTGACAAGGCTCATGATCGGAGTGCTGATCGGGCATGTCGAGATGGACGCGTTGAATGACTCGAAGCCTGCCGCCCAGCTGCTCATGTCGGCGAGTTGCGGCGCGCATGTAATGGCACCTTCTCGCAACCAAAGGTCGCTCCACATAGATATCACGCTCTCCATGGGCTTACTCGAAGATCACATCTTCGTCTCGTTTGCGTCGACGACTAGCTCGGCCCGAAGCTTCGCCTCCTGGACTACCGCCCTCTCCGGCACCCCGATCTCGAACTTTAGGATTATCTTCGCAATCCCGGAGAAGAGCCTGAAACAGTCGGCGTCCGATGCCATCCCGCTGGTGTCCCCCGCGCAACAAGCGGACACGGCATAGACGTTCTCGAGATTGTCCGAAAAGCGGTCGTAGTAGGCCAGGATCTCCGTCATTGCATTGCCAAGCGCCGCCAAAAGCTCGTTCTTCAAAGAGATGAGGGTGGATGCTTCCTGAGAGGCCTTCTCATCGTCGAGGCTGTCCATGCATTTAGCAAAAGTGTCGATATCCTTAAGCCTGCCACCAGTATCCATGACGGTCCTGCTGACTATCTCGAATAACTTCTCGACTGAGGCCCCATTGTCCCCGCTGGTGAACGTCTTGATCTCGGCGCAAATCGTGATCATCATCTGTTGGACGGTGGAGTCGAGAGCAACACCTTCCGATGTGCCAGCGAATTCAGCGAAGGGCGTTCGTTCCCACGCTGCGCGAGCCCAGTTGGTACTCCCAGCCCCAACCCTGATGAGACACCGCAGTCGATTGCTCAGCTTCTCTTTGTTCGCGTGCACCCTCAGCGCCTCGACCCGCAAGTCCCGAGGCAACTTCTCCTTCGCATCGACGGCCAGCACCTTCCCGAAAAAGCGCACGGCATTCAGGTCGGCCATGACAAGAGGCAACCATCCCGTGGAAGGATCTATCTTGGCGCTGTCGATGTTCAGGGCGTTGATGTCACATTCGCCGATGATCCCGTCGCACGCGGCCATGAGCGCCGAAAACTCCCCCTTGGATATTCGCTTCAGGGCTTTATCGACGAATGATTGAATAAGATTATGCTGGCAATTCGCAAGGAACTCGTCGTCGTCGCCGATGCCGATGCTTCCGAACGTCGCCACTGAAAGGTGCGAGCTGCTGTCACCACTGTGGTACTTCGCCATCTTCAGGGCCAGCGCGTGGGAGGCGGGGTCCGTCTGCCCCAGCAGAGCGCAGCAAATTGTGGAGGCCATATTAGACTGCAGGGGGACGTCGGCTTGCTTCAGGACGTTCACTAGAACTTTGGGGACCTCCGTCGATATGGCCACCTCTGGGGACCTCTTCAGCTTCTCGAAGCAATCTCTCGTCTCCTCAAGTCGCACTCCAGTCCTGAACAACTGGTCCGAAACTTCTGCCGACTCGTCGACCATCGAACTCCCGACCTTGTTCGCCTTGGCGGTCAACCTGGGGGAGCGGGGCTGAGCGGGGAAAGGTTGAGGAATGCGGAGGAAGATATAGAGGACAAGGAGGGGGGTATGAGGATGAGGATAAGGAGGACGACGAGGATGAGATACGGACAATGAGAAGAGGACAATGAGGAGGAGGATAAAGAGAGGGGATAGGGAGGAGAGGATAATTTATTAGAGGAGGAGGACAAGGAGGAGGATGATATAGAGGACAATGATGGTTTTATAAGGGCGAGGAGCCAGGGGCATAAGGTTAGGATGGGAGGTGAAAGGATAAGGATGACGAGGACAGAGGACATGAAGGAGCAGGATCAAGGGTGAGGAGGAGAGGACGAGGCGGAGATAGAGCAAGCAAGCAAGCAATTACCCATGGAGTCCTGGTGCAGCAGTGCAGCAGTCTGACGTTAAGTTACCGACACGAGTCAACTGACCACCTGTTTTTGTGTCTGGCGGCAAGGGCCCCCACGGCCAGAACAATATCCCCGCGGAAAGGCAGCCAACGCACAGGTGGATATAGAGCAAGCGATGCAAGCAAGCAAGCAAGCAATCACCCATGGAGTTCTGGCGCAAAGCAGCGGTCTGACGTAAAAACGCTACCGTTGCGACTAATCGGACCACATGTTTTGTTTCTGGCCGCAAAGGCCCTTACGGCCGAAACAAGCCCCACGGAAAGGCAGCCAACACACAGGTGGAGAGGGCAAGGAACAGGAGAGAGAGAGAGAGAGAGAGAGAGAGAGAGAGAGAGAGAGAGAGAGAGAGAGAGGGGGCAGTGAGGAGGAGGAAGAGATAAAGGTGACAGGTAGGAGATGATGAGGCTAAGGACGAGGACGAAGAGGAGGATGTGGTAGAGGGGGAGGACGAGGTTACAACCTCGTGAGCAAGTTCTCGAAGTCGCGCTGCCTGTACCTCTTGTTCCACAGGTTCGCCACCGTCCACGTGGTCTCGACATCGTCGAGGACGGCCTTGCCCGACTCCACCAACGTCTCTGGAGGCCCCCCTCTGCGTCTTCCTCGAGCTCGGCGCGTCCTTGGCATCCTTGGCATTCCTGGCGGGCGGCATCGGCGTACCATGTCCACTCCGAGGAGACCCAGGCGCCTCGCTCGCGCTCTCGCCGAAGGCGCTGGCCGTCATGCTGAAAGGCCTCTTGCGCGAGGCGCCTTCGCCGCTGCTGATGGACTGGACGTCGAAGTTGCCACCTGCTTCGCTGCGAGCAGAACCAGCGCCCGAAGCGGAGGAGGGCAAGATGGAGAGATCCTGCGATTGGCACTGCGACTGCGAGCCACCACGCGATGCCTGAGGCGGCGGCGCAAGCATCGGGGCAATTCCGTTGTCGGTTGAGAGGGTGCCCTCCTCCGCGTCGTGCTCGGCAGCAGACGTGACGTCGTGGAAGCCCTCCTTGCTCCGCATGTCCGCGCTGTCCTCCAAACCCTGGTCGACGGCTGACTGCAGGTCGTCGTGACCCTCCTCACGAATGATCCCAGAGCTCCTCGCGAGTCCCTTGCGAAACTTGCACCTAGCTCCTGGTCGTTTCTCAACTACGAAGACGCCGAACTCGTTTGTCTCGCCCATCCCAGTCTCGAAGCCTAGCCTTTCGTTGATGTACTTCACGGCCTCCTCCTGAGACGAGAACTGCAAGTTTCGGTCTCTGCAGAAGCCCCTCAGCTCACAGAGCTCGCCCTCGACAAAGGCCTCCGAGAAGTCCTTCCTCTCTTGAACCGTCTGGAGCTGCGCGTTCACCGCGTCGGTCATCTGGCACTCGTTCCTCCCTGATGCGCGATCCTCTCGCAACCTCTCGTGTCGAGCGTTTTCAGCTGGATCTTTCTTCTTCTGGATGATCTGTTGGGCAGTGGTGCCCTTGGCGTAGTACTTCTGCCGCACGTACAAGCAGTGGCCGCACTCCGTCCCCATGGGCGTCTTGATCTTAGTCGTGGCGCAGACCTCAGCCTTGGGCCAATAGAGGTAGGTCCCAGGCGGGCAATGCCGATCAAACCCGTGCGTGTTCTGCCCACACGTGTCGCAGTCCCTGGGGCGCGACTGGAGGTTAGGGTGGTCGGCTCCGTCCTTCTGCTTCTTCGCCTCCCTGCTGTGCGCAGCCTGCTTCTTGCCGCTCCCCGCCGGAAACTTCTTGCCCTGGGGCGGCATGGCCAGCGTGGTACTGTCAGTGCAGCTCACAGCACATGCTCGAGTCTCGAGCGCAAAAGCGTCGGCGCCAGTGCCCTGTGCCCGCCTTCTGGGGCAGGCGAGCACCAAGAGATCTCCAGCCAAAACTGGCTGCAGCGGGCTGGAGCTTGGAACAGGAGGAGTGGTATCGGCAGGAGCAGGGATATCGGATGAGGGTGAGGAGTAAGGGCAAGTGGATGGGACTAAAGTGCTCGTAGCCCGTTGTGGGGGGAATATGGAGAGGGCAAATGGCGTCCGCGGCCCATCGGACCAACGTCACCGGCCTGAACGGTCTTTGTCTCATTCCAGAAGCTTTTCCCGAATCATTGGTACCTGGCAATGGCATGGCAGGCTCCAAAGACATCTGAGACCCCACAACCGAGAATTCCCAGAACTTGGTTTCACACGCACGGCCTCTGGCGCGATCAAGAAGTGGTGCAGCCGAAATGCAAATCGAGTGCAGGATATGAGTTGCCTATAAGGCATGAAGGGACCGCACCGAACCGAGAACCGGGAACCGTGACCGAACCGGACCGAACCGGTCCAAAACCAGGAACGTAGAAAACCGAACCGGACCGAACCGAATTCATTCAGAACCGAACCGGCGAGGACCGAACCGAACCAGAACCGGAACCGAACCGGAACCGGGCGGCCCCTGAGCCGAACCGACGGGAACCGAACCGAACCCCTTTCCCCTCTGGTCCGGACCCCAGGACCCCGATGACCCCCAGGACTCCGGGACCCCGATGACCCCAGAACCTCCCGAAGATTCCCGCGACCCCTCCTCCTCTTCCTCCTTCTCCTCCTCCTCCTCCTCGTCCTCCTCCTCCTCCTCCTCCTCCTCCTCCTCCTCCTCCTCCTCCTCCTCCTCCGCTTCCTCCTCCTCCTCGACGGCGGCAGCGTCGGCGGGCGCGGGCGTCGGCAAGCGTCCGTCGTCGTCGTCGTCGTCGCCGTCGTCGTCGGGGGGCCGCGGGGGAGCCCCGGGGGGGCCCCTGGCGACCCTCCTGGCAGCCCCCCTGGCGACCCCCCTGGCGACCCGCGACGGCGACGGCGGCGGCGACGGCGACGGCGGCGGCGGCGGCGGCGACAGCGACAGCGACTTCGACCCCCCTCGCGGGTGCGAGCCCCCTGGCGGGCGCGACCCCCCTGGCGGGCGCGACCCCCATGGCGGGTGCAACCCCCCTGGCGGACGCAACCCCCCTGGCGGGTGCAACCCCCCTGGCGGGTGCAACCCCCCTGGCGGGCGCAACCCCCCTGGCGGGTGCAACCCCCCTGGCGGGTGCAACCCCCCTGGCGGGTGCAACCCCCCTGGCGGGTGCAACCCCCCTGGCGGGTGCAACCCCCCTGGCGGGTGCAACCCCCCTGGCGGGTGCACCCCCCCTGGCGGGCGCAACCCCCCTGGCGGGTTGCCACCCCCCTGGGCGGTTTGCAAGCCCCCTGGCGGGTTTTGAAATGGTCGCCCCCTGGCGGCGCAAACCCACTCGTCGGGGCGGCGTTCTGCAACCCCCCTCGCGGGTGCAACCCCCCTGTGCGGAGGACGCGCACAACCCCCCTGGCGGGTGCAACCCCCCTGGCGGGGGCAAACCCCCTGGCGGGTGCAACCCCCCCGGCGGGGCGCAACCCCCATTGGCGGGCGCAACCCACCTGGCGGGTGCAACCCCCCTGGCGGGCGCAACACCCTGAGCCTGGCGGGTGCAACCCCCCTGGCGGGTGCAACCCCCCTGGCGGGTGCAACTCCCCTGGCGGGTGCAACCCCCCTGGCGGGCGCGACCCCCCTGGCGGGTGCAACCCCCCTGGCGGGCGCAACCGCCCTGGCGGGTGCAACCCCCCTGGCGGGTGCAACCCCCCTGGCGGGTGCAACCCCCCTGGCGGGCGCAACCCTCCTGGCGGGTGCAACCCCCCTGGCGGGCGCAACCCCCTTGGCGGGCGCAACCCCCCTGGCGGGCGCAACCCCCCTGGCGGGTGCAACCCTCCTGGCGGGTGCAACCCCCCTGGCGGGTGCAACCCCCCTGGCGGGCTGCGACACCCCTGGCGGGCGCGACCCCCCTCGCGGGTGTAACCCCCCTGGCGGGCGCAACCCCCCTGGCGGGTGCAACCCCCCTGGCGGGCGCAACCCCCTTGGCGGGCGCAACCCCCCTGGCGGGTGCAACCCCCCTGGCGGGTGCAACCCCTCTGGCGGGCGCAACCCCCCTGGCGGGTGAAACCCCCCTGGCGGGCGCGACCCCCCTGGCGGGCGCGACCCCCAGGACGGATTGCAAACCCCCCTGGAGGGCGCAAACCCCACTGGCGGGTAGCTGCAAACCCTCCTGGCGGGCGCGACCCCCTTGGCGGGTGCAACCCCCCTGGCGGGTGGACCCCCCTTTGGCGGAGTGCAACCCCCCTGCGCGGGTTGCTTGCAAACCCCCTGGCGGGTGCAAACCCCCCTGGCGGTGTGCAACCCCCCTGGGCGGGCGAAAACCCCAAATGGCGGATGCGACCCCCTGGCGGGTGCAACCCCCCTGGCGGGTGCAACCCCCCTGGCGGGTGCAACCCCCTGGCGGGCGCAACCCCCCTGGCGGGTGCAACCCCTGGCCGGCGCAACCCCCCTGGCGGGCGCAGCCCCCTGGCGGGTGCAACCCCCTGGCAACCCCCCTGGCGGGTGCAACCCCCCTGGCGGGCGCAACCCCCCTGGCGGGTGCAACCCCCCTCGCGGGTGCAACCCCCCTGGCCTGGCGGGCGCAACCTCCCTGGCGGGTGCAACCCCCCTGGCGGGTGCAACCCCCCTGGCGGGTGCAACCCCCCTGGCGGGTGCAACCCCCCTGGCGGGCGCAACCCCCCTGGCGGGTGCAACCCCCCTGGCGGGTGCGACCCCCCTGGCGGGTGCAACCCCCTGGCGGGTGCAACCCCCCTGGCGGGTGCAACCCCCCTGGCGGGTGCAACCCCCCTGGCGGGCGCAACCCCCCTGGCGGGCGCAACCCCCCTGGCGGGTGCAAACCCCCCTGGCGGGCGCAACCCCCCTGGCGGGCGCAACCCCCCTGGCGGGCGCAACCCCCCTGGCGGGTGCAACCCCCTGGCGGGTGCAACCCCCCTGGCGGGCGCAACCCCCCTGGCGGGTGCAACCCCCTGGCGGGTGCAACCCCCCTGGCGGGTGCAACCCCCCTGGCGGGTGCAACCCCCCTGGCGGGCGCAACCCCCTGGCGGGCGCAACCCCCCTGGCGGGTGTAACCCCCCTGGCGGGTGCAACCCCCCTCGCGGGCGCGACCCCCCTCGGGGCTGCGACCCCCCTCGGGGCTGCGACCCCCTTCGGGGCTGCGACCCCCGTCGGGGCACGTCGCTGGAGGGCCTCGCGCCTCCACGCCTCCACGTTTCTCCTCCTGCTCCTCCTCCTCCTTCTCCTCCTCGTCGTCCTCCTCCTCCCTCCTCCGCCTCCGCCTCCGCCTCCGCCTCCGCCTCCTCCTCCTCCTCCTCCTCCTCCTCCTCCTCCTCCTCCTCCTCCTCCTCCTTTTTCCTCCTCCTCCTCCTCCTCCCTTTTTTTCAAACTGGGTCGTCGCTTACGCAAACGGGGCGCCCAACGTCGCACGTGACCAATCGGGCCGAACCGAACCGGAGCGGCCACTCGAACCGAACCGAACCGGTCGGACCCAACCGCGCGAAAACCGGAACCGAACCGAACCGGCGGCAGGCCCAAGCCGAACCGGCCGAAACCGGACCGATGCCAAACCGAACCGGCCAAGCAAAACCGACCCGACTGCAGAACCGGACCGAACCGAACCGAGCCGATCCCTTCATGATAAGGGGCCCTCTTGTGTCCTCGGACCCCGCGATCTCATACAGACTGAGACTGAGAGGGGCTCGAGAGGGCCCAATGGGCTCTTGGACACCTCCACGCTCCACGGGGCCATGTTGAGCCCTCCCTGATAAAGTGATGTGGCTTGAATTTTGGCCGCAACGATACCTTGGCCAAGTTGGACTGGGAACTCATAGAAACCCGCCAGAATCAAAGGTTTGAGTTACGTCGTTTGGGCATTCTTTCTGGTGGGCTAGTTGGCAGCCGTGAACCCCAAACAGCTCTTCATGACAACCAACATGTGGCGCAATCTGGTAGATACAATCAATGTGAGGCAATATGTTTGGTGCGCACCATTACAGGGCGATGCAAAGCAATGCAAGGGAGTCCAGCCTCATGTGAAGGAAGGCAACGCAACGCAAAGCGGTTCGCATCGACGCAGAGTCATGCCAAGAACGCAATACGCAAGCTTCATGACTCAGGAGCCCAACGAGCTATTGCCACTATACACATTACAAACCCACAGTCCCGTAATCCCTGCGAGCCGTAGGAGTCTCATAAGCCCGTCAACCCCTTCTAACCATCCACGGCTTCCAACCCCTTTGCTAGACCAGAAGATCTGATAAACCGTATATGACGCATACAACGTACACGCTCTAGAAACATTGTAAACCTCAGTAGCCCTCGAAACACTAAGAGGCCCCAGTAGCAGTAGCCTCATAGTACTTAGAGAAACGATATGCCTTATGAGCCCTGCGAGCTGCGAGCCCTAGCTACATTATCGGCCCGATAAGCCCAATGAGCCCGAGGAGTTCTACAAGCACGAATTCCGCCGAACTCTGTCTTCCGAGCTGGGGCTCGACGATCGTGGAACATACAAATGCGACGGGGGGGCTGGGCAAGCGCGCGCACAGGCACGCGCCATCTTAATTATTTGGTTCGCCAGTCCGGTGTTCTATGACAGCGGATGTTCATATTATGAGCGGCGCTCCTGGGTAGTTATGTCAAGGGGTTTAGGGGGGGCGCTTGGCTACATAAGCCCCATACGTCATGCCTGCGATATAAGTCATGCGAATCACATCAGCCCGATGAGCCCTGTAATCTCCATAAGGTCCTGAAGCCCTAGAGGTCGCATGAACGCAAAAGCCTTTTAAGCCTTTTAAGTCTTAGAAGTCACATGAGCCCTAGAATCCCGATCAGCCTTGCGAGCGGTGCA